GGACTAGAACCATGTAGTCAGCCATGTGGGATCTAGCTGCCTTAACCAACCTGCCACCTGGCTGGCCATGGTTATTTATTTATTTATTTTTTAAAAAGTCATTATTGCTTAGAAATATATACCAAAGAGCTTAAATATGAATTGATATGGGTTTTACTTTACAAGAATTCAACAAGCCTGGGGCAGATGATGAACCAAGCCACTTGTTGGTGGCTGTTTGGGGGGCTGGGTTATGAGTACATGACCACTGTACTATCATCTCTCTTTTTGTTCATGTTGCAAAGTTTCTATAGTGGGGACCAGCAGTTGGTATAATGGCTATGTCGCTGGACTCCCATGTACTCGACTGCGGTTCGAGTCCTGGACCCAGTGGCTTAAACTCACGCCAGGCGCGTATGCGTGCGTGCCCAAGATCCTGAGAGGAGAATGGAGGAGAAGGAACTGTGGCGTGGCCATCCCCCCTGGGGAGTGATTTCTTGCTTTCTATCTCTCTGTCTCTCTGTGTCTTTCTGGTGAGCACACGTGCCCTATAGCAAAAACCTCTCCAAAAAAAGAAAAGAAAAAGGTTTTATGGTGAATTTTTAAAAACATTAATCCTAATTATGTTAACTTTAAAATATTCCTATCCCTTCTCCATTCACTACTGGAGTCATCAGAGCACGTAGAAGGTGCTTAATCCCTGCTTTCTGTGTCTATAGACAGTGATGCCAGGAACTGTTCCATTCACTTCTACCCCCAGGAATTCTTTTTACCGAAGGGTACCTACTTGCTCCTTCTCAAAAGCCGTCATGAAGCTAGTACTTGTAGACTTAGATGTAAGAAATTCCCTATAATATCTGAGGTCTCTTCATTTTCTTCCACTCTTTTTTTTTTTAATCAAGAGACGTTTGCTATAGGGTGCATGTGCTCGCCAGAGAGACAGAAAGTGAGAAATCTCCCCTCCATGGGGGATGGTCACACCACAGTCCCTTCTCCTCCACTCTCTTCTTGGGATTCTGGGCATGCATACATACACACCCAGTGTGACTTTCGAGCTATTGGGTTGAGACTCAAACCGTGGTTGGCCATGTGGGAGTCCAGCGCCTCAACCACTAGGCCACCTGCTGGCCCCTCTTCTTCTCTTAGTATGGACCCAGTGTGAGTTTCAAGCCACAAGGTCGAGACTTGAAGTGCAATCGGCCATGTGGGAGTCCAGCGCCTCAACCACTAGGCCACCTGCTGGCCCCTCTTCCCCTCTTATTATGGTTTGGGGGGTACACAGCCAAAGGAAATTTGAGAACTCAAACCACTCAGATAAGAAACAACCACCAGAGGGAGACAAAAACAAGTTTCCATTGACTTTGGACAGTCCCAAACCTGGTGGCAGACACGGCAGAGCTGGGCTCGTGAGCTCAAGTTTCGTGAGTGCAGAGAAATCTCAGTATTTTACATTCCCTGCTCCAAATGAACCACATGTAAAAAGGCATTTATGAGACAGCTGGGGTATTTTGAACACTGACTAGACATGTTAACAAATTCCTGTTAATTTTGTAGGTGTGATAACAGTGGGATGGTGGGTATTTTTTTCCTCTTTAAGAAAATAATTGTCAAAATTGGGATTAGCAGATGGCCTAATGATTACATCACTGGACTCCCATGTAGTCGACTGCGGTTCGAGTCCTGGACCCGGCATCTTCAAACGCACACCGGGTGTGTGTACATGTCTGCCTAAAAGCCTGAGAGGAGAGCGAAGAGAAGGGATTGTGGCATGGCCATCCCCTCTGGGGGATGATTTCTTGCTTTCTGTCTTTCTGTCTCTCCAGTGAGTGCACATGCCCTATAGCAAAAAAAATCTCACTAAAAAAAAAAAAAAAGAAAAGAAAAGAAAAGAATTGCCAAAATTGAAATCTCAGGTATTGATCACAAGGTCTACCTATGCTATCTTAGCAGCAAAAGTCTGAAAACAGTCCCCGTTAATCAGACAGGCAGCCCTTCCCTGGGTACACTCAAAACCACACCAGGCTATTTTTTAATACTCTGAGTCACAAGGGGAAACCAGCTAGGCCAACGAAGTGGCTTCTTTTATGATTAGGTGTGTGTGCTGGGGGTGTGGGACTTGGGGAGACATGTTCTTAGAAGCCACTGCCAGTTCTATTTAGAGTTAATAAAGCTTACCAGGACCCTGGGTCTCATGCAGCATGCAGCAAACAGCAGAGTTAACTGTAAAACAGTAAGAGCTGATGAAGATGGAGTGAGCGTGAGGAGAAATCAAATTTTATGAGTTGACATGGACAACGAAGGTTAGAGGTCAAGGGAGATTAGGAGGAGCAGGGAGGGAAGGAGGAGGGGTGGACTGGTAGGAACCCCTGGAACACAAGTACCCTTTCTTACTCTCTTTCAGGGCTGCTAAAGAAATTCTGAGTGTGTGACTCTACTAGATCCACCCTGCAGCTCTCACGAAGAAATGCTACCACCACCATTTCTAACCTGAAAACCCACCACCACCACCACCACTGTTCCCGAAGCAGAGTAGCACAGATCCAATGGTGAATGTTCTAGAAGTTAACTGATCGTTCATGGAATTCTGTAAGAAGACCAGACCTGGGCCCACTTATACAGTCAGAAGTTTGGACAAGGCCAGGCTGTTTTGTCAGGCCCTTCGTGCTAACATGAGGTGTCACATGCAGCAAGGTCTCCACCTATCTTATAATTAGGAAACGGTGTCGTCACCAACCCCAAATAGTCCAGAGACCAGAGAGAGGTGTCCTGTATAAGGTCTTCTGCCCAGGGTCGGGGGTGGGGGAAGGTCAGTCCACTGGACGTAATGAGAAGAAAGCCTGGTCTGAGAAGAATTTTTATGGAGCACCGAATAGGGGACATTTATGGTTTACTGTGAGTGCGGTCAGAACAAATGAATCTCTTAATTCCTGTAAGCAGGTTGTAAAACTGCCCCAGGGACTGAGTTAACAAATACGGCAGGACTCCGAAGGCAGCAGGTTAGAGCTGAAAGGCAGGTTTAGATGGTTCTGATTTTAAAAATAGGAATCTGTTCCTGCTGGTACAACCAATACACCGTGACAGGTAAGTTAGGGTACGGTGTGTCCAAAGAGACCTTTCTTCTGGCTAGTTGAACTTCAGCCATCAGGTGATACCAAAAAAGTTCACTGATCAGTGAATTTTTTTTTTTTTTGAGAGGTTTTCACTATAGGGCGCGTGCGCTCGCCAGACAGAGAGAGAGAGAAAGAGATAGAAAGCGAGAAATCACCCCCCAGGGGGGATGGTCACACCGCAATCCCTTCTCCTCCATTCTCCTCTCGGGATCTTGGGCATGCACGCACACGCGCCCGGCGTGAGTTTTAAGCCACCGGGTCCGGGACACGAACCGCGGTCGACTACATGGGAGTCCAGCGACATAGCCATTACGCTAACTGCTGGTTCCCATTGATCAGTGAATTTGAAAGACAGTATTACAATTTGGTAACAAAAATCTCTAAACTAATTGGTGAAAATGTTTAAAGTGCATATTCAAACCCAAAACAATCAAATAGCGAAACAAAGTGCCTTCAAGTATAAAAACTGTTACTGTGGACAAGAGTCACTGCGTTATTTCTAAAGGATAAAAGCCAGGCGCAGAGGAAAGAAAGATGTTTCTTCCTTCTGGCAAATAGCCAATAGCTGAGTCCAGGAACAAGTAGTTGAAAACAGAAAGCAATGATCGTGGACCCCTTTTGGATCCTTAGGACCCTTAACACAAGGATGTTGCTAAATGGTACACCCAGGAGCACCTCAAGTCACACCGTACAAATGACTACAGAGTACAGGGGGAACCACTGGATGTTTTCCGGGTGTTGTAGAGATCTCACTGGAAGTACTCTTCTCTTCTCTGTGTCAGGGATGAGGACTGGGAAACTTTGGCAGGGAGAGTCGGGGGTTGGGTCAGGATTACTGGCCCGCAAGGTAACCAGGAGCCTTTGCTATCCTACCTTACCCAATACCAGGGGAGACAGATTGGTTTTATTTTTGTTTATTTGAGGTTTTAGCCATAGGGCATGTGCGCTTGCCAGAGAGAGACAGAGAGAGGGAAAGTGAGACATCACCTCCCAAGGGAGATGGCCATGCCACAATCTCTTCTCCATTCTCCTCTCAGGATGTTGGGCATTTGCGCACTTGCACCTGGCGTGATTTTCAAGCCGCCAGATCTGGGACTTGAACTGCGGTCGGCCACATAAGAGTCTAGCACTTTTAACCACCATGCCATCTACTGACCCTGCCAGATTGATTTTTAAACCATTCCCTAGATTAAAGATGGAGTCCATGGGGTACCTGAGGGCTCTCTACTAAGTTCTCAGTACCCCAGGCTGGGTACAATTAATAGCCAGCAGGGAGAGATAGCAAAGGGGTGGGAAGTCAGGGCTGGGCCACAGCCGTCAGGGGCAACAGTGACATGCTGTAGGCTGCAGCTGGTGAGAAGCAGGCAGGGTGAGGGCCGGACCAGAAGCAGGGAGAGGCTACCAACCTCGGATACAAGGAGGGCCAGTAGGCCTGCAAACCAGAGCAGCTCCAACCTCTGGGGGTGAGGAGGAGAAAGAGGGTGCCCAGAGACTTCTGCTAACAGGTCTCTCTCTCTTCCACTACTATCCAGTTGCTCTTCTTTGTGTTCCTGTCTTTCTTCTAACTTTGCCCCTCTCCTTCTTTCCCTCCTTCCACTCTCCCACATTCCCTTTGCTTCTCTTCTCGTCTCCCTTCCTCCACCCTCCACCTAGAGTTTGCAGTTTCCTAAGGGGGGCAGCCAGCCAGCCTGGACCTCTTGGCCCACACCCCTCCCCTATTCTCAGCTTCCCAAATTCAGGGAGTCTGAAGGGCCCATGGGACACTGAGACCAGCTGGAGGTATCCGAAATTAGCCTAATTGCCTAAGGCTCTCCCCTGGTCACCAGCCCTTAACCCCCTCAGCCTTTGGGGTCTTCCCTGAGGGAATGAGCAGGAGGAGGAAGAAGCCCCCACCCCAGGGCAGCCTCTGACTTACTTTTTCTTCTCTTTGTCTCTTTTCAGAGTCTGTGAGCCTCCAGCCTGGGAACCCTGGGACTGGAGGAGCTCAGCTGCCGTCTTTCTCTGTTTGAAAGCGTTCACTTCATCGTCCAGGGATTTCTTCTTGTCCTCCAGCTTCTTCTTCTCGTCCTGGTGCAGTTTTTTCAGTCGGTCGAACTTCTCATGCAGCTGGCAGGGAAGCACAGGGAGATTACAGAGAGCTCCTCTGCACCGCTCTCAGCCCAGCCAGGCCCAGGGTGGGGAGGCATGGCCAGAGTTGCAGCCCAGTGGGCTCCTGGGACCCTGGGCGACATCTCTGCCAGGAATTGCCATGATGGCACCGAAAGGGCACCATGCTCTGGATAATTCTCTCCTCCTGCCATTTTACCTCAGAGTCTCTGTTCCTGAATACAATCAAGGAACAATGCATTCTGCTTGATCAAACATTTTGTTTAAGCGAGTCCCCAGAATTACCAAGCATGGTTAATAATAATAATAAATAATGGGACATCTACTGAGCACTTACATAGACCAAGTACTGACAATTATAAACACTTTGTATGTACTACCTCGTTTAATGAGTGGAGCCGTCCTATGACATAGGTTCTGTTATCTCCATTTAATGAGGAAACAGAGGGTCTGAGAAGGTAAGGGATTTGCCCAAGGTCAACTCAATCTTTTTTTCTTTTTTGAGAGGTTTTTGCTATAGTCTGTGTGTGCTCGCCAGAAAGACAAGAGACACAGAGAGACAGAAAGCGAGAAATCACACACCCCCCCCCCCCCCCCCCCCCCCCGGGGAGGATGGCCACACCACAATCCCTTCACCTCCAGTCTCTTCTCAGGATCTTGGGCATGCGTGCACACATGCACACATGCCCAATGTGAGTTTAAGCCACCTGGTCTGGGACTTGAACCATGGTCGACTGCATGGGAATCTAGCAATGTAGCCATTATGCCAACTGCTGGTCCCAGTCATCTCAATCTTTAGAGGACTACATAATTGGACCTGTATATGAGGGGTCCCTGCCTCTTCTCATCCTTGCAATCAAGGAGGATACTATAGATCACAGAGAAAACTCGAGCCCTGGACATGGAAGGAGATCAAAGGATTTTATAAAATAGAATGAGAGGGGCCAGTCAGGTGGCATGGTGGTTAAGGCTGCTGATCCCCCATGGCCAGCTGCTCGGTTCAAGTCTTGGACCTGGTGGCTTGAATAACATGCCAGGTGCATATGCATACATGCCCAAAAATCTCGAGAGAACAGTGGAGGAGAGATTGCAGCATGGTCATCCCTTCATCCTGGGGGGTGGTGATTTCTCGCTTTATCTCTCTGTCTCTCTCCTGTCTCTCTCTAGTGAACACTCACACCCTATAACAAAACTAAAAACTAAAAATAACATAAAATGGAATGAGAGTGGAGACCTCAGCCTTAACCAAGGGGAGGCTTGTCTAGGCCTGAATAGAACCAGAGACCCAAATGAGAGCAAGAATATTCTGGCCCATCATTGGATCAGAAAACAAAAAGGAAAGGAGACAAATCAAGATTCTGTAGCGTTTGCCGCACACCATGAAGATCAGTTCTCCAGGTCCCATAGGTATTTGGGACTGTCACTTAGCAAGGTGTGGTGAATGACAGACTTGCTGAATAAACCAGCTTTGGCTAGTCACGTGGGCTGGGAGTGTCGCTCAGGAAACCTGTCAGTTGCTTTAACCTGGCTTCTGTTCATTGCAGTTTTATTCATTTATGTTTGAGATCTCTTCACCTCTCCTCCCAAAAGGGCTGGGTGACGTTTTTCTTTCTTTCTTTTTGAGAGTTTTTTGCTATAGGGCGCATGTGCTCACCAGAAAGACAGAGTGAAACAGAGACAGAAAGCAATAAATCACCTCCCCCCCAGGGAGATGGCCATGCTGCAATCCCTTCTCTTCCATTCTCCTCTTGGGATCTTGGACACACATGCACACGTGCCCGGCGTGAATTTTAAGCCACCAGGTCTGGGACTCAAACTGTGGTGGACTACATGGGAGTCCAGCGACATAGCCA